TCTTGCTTCCGTCTGTTCATGCGTGCGTCTGTGTGGCCACCCGTGCGTCCATCCGCCCGTCCGTGCGTGCGTCTGTTCGTGCGTCCGCACGTCCATCTGTGCGTCCGTCCCTGCGTTCATCCATGCATTCGCTCCTGCGTCCGTCCATGCGACCATCCGTCCATGCAGACATCCGTGCGTCCGTCCATGCATCTGTCTGTGTGTCCGTTCGTCCACCTATTCAACACTCCAAGTACCACCATCTCACATCTTTTCATTATATATTTCACATGAAGAAGCACCGCCATCCAGCGGACATTCCAAGAAGGAGGAGGAGGAGGATTGAAAGAGGAAGGACAGGGAGGTTAGCCAGTTCTCAGACCGGCTGGCTACCCTGTAATGGGGGAGGGGGTTATAGGGATAAAAGATGAGAGAAAAGAGACGTTGAAAAAAAAGGGAGAAGGTCATCAGACGATACACGACGTTGCTTACAGTCTGTCCCTAAGACCACTTGCCCGCAGAAAGCGCAACAACGCTCTCAATACCTTGGGTGCAGAGGACGGTCTCGGCCAGTATCTTAATACCCTTTCTTCCGACAATCGGCAATTGTCTAGTCTATCTAAAACTTTCGATATTTCTTTTCTTGGCGCACTGGAACGTGGACACTTGCAGAGAATATGGGAGATGGTCTCTGCGCAGCCACCGTTGTCACATGTCGGGCTGCTGGTCATTTCGATTCGAAACGAGTAAGTGTTCGTAAAGGCCACCCCGATCCACAGACGGCACAAAAGTGTCTCCTCAGCTCCGGTTATTCCTGATGGAAGACGGAGCTGTAGGTGTGGGTCCATTCCAAGGACTAAACGAGAGGTGGTACACGCACACTTTCTTACGGCTTGCGCTTCGGGTCTACTTCCCACCTTTAACCAGCTCGAGTTCATGGTATATACTAGTTCACTGTATTCATGGCACTGCGGCCCAACGCTCGCTAAACTTTTCTAAAACCAAGGAGGTTACGCCCAGCGAGTATAACGTAGCAACCCTTTTTTGTCAGATAGTGCTCAATGTGCATGCCAATGGCTGCTAAAGGGGAATGAGAGACAGGAGAACTCGTCTTTTAGTTAACGCGCACGCTGCGAATTTTTTATTGTTCAACAACGCACAGAAGAAATCTCCCACCGGCACCACCTTGAAGGTCAAAATGTAAGACTGGTTACACACTACTACTACTACTACGACTATGAGGGACGAACGGGTGCTGCTATAACGAGCTTCGGCCCTCTTGTAACCTTTGTATAACGAGTGTTCGAATGATCGCGCTTCTGTTGTAGTGTACAGTCGAAACGTGTTTTTGCTGTTCATCGGTGTGTTTACCGCGTGTGTCCATGATAAGTGTCGGAGAAGATTTATGTATTTGATTACTTGTCAGAAGTGCAATAAACTTCCCTTTGTTTCGGCCCTAAAAAAAACTCGCGTATCTTAGGTGCGTACAACAAGTTGGCATGACGACCACTGCACACAGACCTGCGCAGCCTCTGTCTCGTCGCTGGTTAGCCCGGCATGACACGGCCGCTTGCTGCAACACGTTTCCGATAAGGGACAGCGCCACTGCAGGTTCACGGGAAACTATACGCACGGTGCAAGAATACTTTAGGTGAGCGAACGCTGAGACTATGCGCTGGCAGATAGTGTTCTGCTTCACAAGGAGCCTGAGAGATGGCGCTACAAACTTTGCCACGTCTTCCCTATCGCTCTTGGTGTACGAAAGCCCCGTAACGTAGGAAAGTAGCGGCGCTCAATTTATCGTCGCCACGACACCCTTGCCGCACGTCAACCTCCTTCCTTATCGCCCCTCTTTCGCGGTGCCGCTCTAAGTGTGTCGCATGGTTGATATCGCGCGATAACCCGGGTTTCTCAGAATTGGAAATCGTCGCCACGTGCCGGAAGTGCTTCGCGGAATTTGCCAGCAGACTGTCACGGTCCTCAGTCGGCGAGCCATCAATTGGCACGCTGTAAACGAGAACATAATCGGTCCCTCCCCGCAAGCGCTTGTTTCGCGGCGTTCGCTCACCTAAAGTGTTCTTGCACCGCGGCTATGCGTTACCACTGCTGGCCATAAAAACCAAGCTGCCAAGCTCGGTTTCATCATTGCTCCGTTACCTCTGACGAGCGTAGCATCAGTGTGGTCGATCTGATGATTTTTCCTACAGATAGAATAATCCGTTATGTGTTCATGCTGGGATCCGCCCTTCGTCGATCCGGTATACTACATTGGCATTATCAGTCATACTCACGTATAGTGATAAGCAGAAAGTAAAACATTAATGATGTCGTGACATTGGTTCGCGTATACATCGCAATACATGCCGTAATCTAAATAATAATTTAGAAGCTTTTTTTTTTCAGACACAAAAACCAAACATCATGCAAGACGAATCAGAGGAAGTGCAAAAAAAAATTACAGTTCCGGAACAAAGCTCAATGCAAGAACGCGTTTTCTATTTTTCTACTGCTACGATCTCAAACAAGCAAATTATATCCCGAATAATCTCAAACGGGTTCTTATGTTAGGTTTTCGTCGCGTTTGCGTTTTTTATTCTCGATTCATCCAAGTGAAAAGGAAACGAAGATAGCAGCGGTGAACAAGGAACCATATAGGTCGGCGAACGAGTCAAGTCACTTGGACTGCCTCAGAATCGGATCGGGCCGCGATTCTCAATCTGGGCGAGTCTGGGTGAGTTATATTTCAGAGAGATTTAGTGCGCGTGATGCCCAAGCGCAAAATATATATATCGTGAGTGAGCTTCACAATTTGGGCCAACCTATGCGCTCACACATATTTTTGTGTTTACACCATTTTCGTGCACAGCACAAAAATATCCGATTGCAACTTCGTCGCAGAGATATGGCAGTGCATTCCTTGTGCAGTGACGAAAAACCCACTCAAATCCTGAAATGTTGACGTCGACTTCGGCACTGCTGTCCGAAAGCACAGAACACTCAGTGGAGGGCAGACACCCAACGAAAAACACCTGTTGCACAACGGATTGTGAACGCAGCACATAAGTGTTCACAATGACGGCAGACAGGGAAGACGCAAACGAGCATGCAGCAAATGCGAATGCGCGAAACACAACACGAAGCGTGCATGACTTTTTTTTTTATTTTCCAAGAAGTATTTTCACCCTAAAAGAGAACTTTTAGGATTGGTGCGCGCCATTTTGTTTTGAGGGTGTTTTTATGAATGTTGTTTGTCTCCCAGTGAATTTCTACAGCTCGTGGTGAAATAACGTTTTTAGTTTGTATGTATGCAGAGAAAAAGTTTCCGAAATTTTTAATAAACCTACATTTTAATAAACCGAAACACTGTGCCGGACTGAAGAAGCCCGCCAAATTGCTCGCTTGCGAACACTGGCATCACAAGATCGCTCCAAGCAACGATACGATCAACGCCATGATGCCATTTAATTCCGCAAAGGTGAATTCGTGTGGTTGTGGACCCCGCAACGAAAACCTGGTTTATGTCAGAAGTTTTTACCGCAGTACACAGGCCCCTACGTCATTGTAGATCGCTTGACTGACTTGACGTACGTTGTGGCACGCTTGACGACACCTTCTCGTCGGTCAAATCGAACGCAGTTGGTGCACGTGGCTCACCTCAAGAAGTTTCATCCCTCCAGTGACAAACTCGCCCAGCGGGCTTCGTCTGTGAACCGGGGATTGCTACGGTATGCGCCGGGCTGTAGTATGTGCCGGGTAGGTAGAAGAGGAAGACGACATTCTCTGGTGTGGCCCGAGGACTCCAGGAAAACAACAACAACAACAACAACGACTCCATCTTTACCGCGACTGCCGAACTTCATCCTCATCCTGTAAATAAATCCACCTATCCTTTAATTCAACCGTAACAATATATTTGGGACCTTGACTTTTTGGTCATTCCGGTAGATCCAAAGAAAATAATGTGGTTTTTACGGATGATGACTGATTGTTTTCATTGCTGCAATGTACTGGCGGGGAGCTTTGGAAGATGACGTCATCGATGCGCGGGGATACATAACGGGGCGTCGTGAGCAACATGGGCTTACTGGTCCGGTAAATATTCGTGTGCTGAAAGCACTTTGAAGAACAGGTCAATCTTTCATGCAAACTTTAGAATGGCAGAACATAAAAGAATATAGAATGTGCGGTAGCTTACCGCAAGACGAAGTCGTGGAAGCCACTAAACATAAAGCGTGCACTATCTATGTGTGTTAATCTAATCTATGTGTGTTATTTTGAGTAGCCGGTAAAGTACTCACACTGGAGATAGCTGTGGGGACGCGTGCCCATGCAACTACGCTTCCCGAGATCGCACACACGAATTTCGTATTACCTGGGGCGTTCATGACTGCAGGTGGGGTGAAAGTGCCGTTTTAGTTGCGTAATGTGTTCCTTCGAGCGCATGACGATGCGAGAAACCAACGCTGGTCTGTGCGTGGTGCATTTGTGGTATGTCCTTGCGGTATGTTTAACACCGTCACGCAATAATATTCAATCAGATCTCCACATGAAAAGATCTGTTGAAAGAAATCCGAAATGCGTTTTTCATATTATCTTCCTCTTTAGTCATGAAAAAAAAAAAAACTAACTTGAAACACCGAGTGTAACCGGAAGCAACTTTTTCGCAAGTTGTAACCTTTAAGACAAGTCCAACTGTGAAAAACATTACCTTCGTCAACAACCCGTGTGACAGGTATATTTATCTCATCCAAGATTTTTTTATACCCCTGAACGGTCCACATTAATTAAATTAGCTGCTCAGCGTGTCATAATGAAAGTCCTTAATACCACCAACAAAAGCGGCATATTTTGTCTGCTAAGTGAGAAGGAGCGGTCGGTGCCACCATAACGCAACCAATCTCTCCTACTTCATCACATTATTAAAGAAAATGTGTCAGAGTAAAATGAGTCTTGAACTGTATTCACATGGTTACCGAAAGGCCTCAACGAGGGATAAGAATAATGACTCGGAAGGGAGGCTCTGAAGTGCATTTCCTCTCAGAGCAATGCTCTTATATTTACTGTAAAAGCGTGACATAACATTCATAGGTTAACGAGCAGCGATATTACAAGTATATGAGCAACAGCGCTGGCACCTATGTACCCTGAAAATAATTATGGATGTTTTATTTGTTTGTAGCAGCACGCTTGCGGACTCCAACGGTAATGTCTGAAGAAGATATGACGCCGTATCCTTTAAAGAAATCCAAAGGAACCTGAAAAGAAACAGAATGATGTATTCAGCTCTCGGACACCACAGTTCAAAGGGCGGCACAGCAACTGCAACACATCATTAGAAGGATGAAACGTTTGCTGCTTGACTATTTCCTGCTACCGTATGTATTGAGGATTATCGACAATGACTCTGGTCTTCCTTTGACGTTATACGAAGGAAAATAAGCCTCTATTTTCAGTTAATCTTTGTTTATTTAACGCTGCATTCGCCGATGCGTGCAGACATAGCTTGGTAAGGCATTCACTTTACTGCATATAGCAATGCTCATAGTGCGCTTTTTAAGGAGTCGTACCTTTGTTTTGTCAGTGCGAACAAATCGTGCGATGCGGACTGAATGGAAGACAGCCATCTTGGAGGCCTGGAGGCCCAGTCGCATTCCCACGCAATTTCTAGGGCCAGCTCCAAACGGGAGGTACGTGTATGGCCGTATGTTTGTGGCGTTCTCTCCGATGAACCTGAATTCGACAGAGTAAATGCGTTTACTGAAGAACCTCCCGAACTTTTGCTAGGTGTTTGCTCAAACACCGTCTACAACAAGTTTCTGTGTATGCAAGAGAACTTCACACTCGCCTTTCTGGGCGAAATTCATGGGGATCGGGGAAGTACTCGGGGTCATGGTGCATCGCATACAACGGAACTGCAACGATGCAACCTTTTGGAACCCGAATACCAGTATCACCGAGCGCATAGTCCTTGGTCGTTTCCCGCTCTAGTCTGCGAAGAAATGAAGAATAGCTTTCGCAAAGAGGTATCTGGCTACACCTTTGATGTTTTATGCAGACTTCGAAATATAACCAACAAGTGGTTTTAGCTGGTTAATAATTAACACTTCTCAGTAAAAAATTTCTCCTGTATCAAATGTGCCTCACCTGGACGCTGGCGGGAACATCCTCAGTATCTCAGATATTACTCCGTGTAAGTACTCCAGCTTCGCCACTACTTCCATAGCCGGGTGCTCACCCTTTACACAAGGGAAAAAAGGCAAAGGCCGCATTCAACAGTCAACGATCAACTCTATGGCTCTTCACACTGTTATTGTAATAACAACCGTGCATACTGTTTCATTTCTCGCGCTTTCTCTACTCGTTCAGATATACAATTTCCCGCTTCCCACAATACGTATCTTCATCTGCAGCCACGCGTACTTCCTTAAAAGAATGACTTCGGAGGTCAGTGGATGTAAACACAGGAGCTGCTTACTGCATACATTTCTCTGAGATGCTGTTCGCTTTACTCGACAATCTTTCTCTTAGAAGGCATGGGCGGTTTCAATTTTTTTCAAGGGCAGGATAATTAAGTGTTAATTAAAAAAGAAACAGCGAACACCGGAGCATGTGAAGAAAAGACATATATAAAATAAATAAAATATTCGAGGCCAATAGATACTATTTCCTCGTAAACATTCCGACAAAGCCAAATTCTTCCGAATAGTAACCTTTCTGCTGGGCATTTGCAATCAAGCAAACCCTTCACCACTGTTGAGCAGAATAAAAGTTACATGCAAGCACTCAAAGAAGCTGCATTGTGCCTTTCAGACTACCTGTTTATGTAATGTGTATCGTATGCACCGTTCATTAATGGCCACCTTTTTCGCCGTTACATTGAATACACCTGACTTGCATTGATAAGCATATTTCCTTTTTCTTTAATGATTTCAGTTATCAATGTACTGTAGTTATCACTGTACATCCGCCACCTGTGCACTGTACATTACCATTGTTCTGTACATCAGTTACCACTGTACATCATCTAGTGATCCAATGAACAGAATTACTTTTCTTCAATGCCGCAATCCTAAAGAAATACTTTATACAAACGTGCGTGACCAGGCAGGACGCCCTCGTCTATCGTGTTTATCTATCTATACTTACGTGCCTTTGCAACGCACAGATCGACCTCTTCTCGAAGCTTCTCCTGAACTTCGGGGTTCAACGCTAGCATGTAAAGCGTGAAGGCAACCACGGATGATGTCGTTTGTTGTCCAGCAACTAAAAACATGAAGCACTGAGCCATGGCCTCATCTTCACTCAGTGCTGAAGGGAAAGAAGAATCACGCAGAGGAGGTGCGTTACTTTACGCATGACGCGAAATATGGAGGTAGTTATAAGAACACATCATCTGACACGCTGTGAAAATCGAGCCACGTCGCACATTTCACCTGAAGTATAAACAATGTACCTATTAAGGCCGAAAAAATGTCCTGAGGTGGGTAGCTTATCGAACCCCTAAAGTGAACAAGAACACAGTGGAAGCATCATGTGGCTGTGACGGGGAAGCAAGCGGAACTTAAGCAGATCAGAATGAAACACTTGATTGTGTGAACGTGTGCCCGGAACGAAAATAGGTGGTACGCTCGGTGCAACAATAGCTTCGAGCACAATCGTCCACCGTCGATAATTTTTTCTGTGGGATAAGGCGCATCGGCATTTGAACATCTAGCATCGCAGATTGCCACTGTATAGTTAGTGGCTGTGTTCGTTCCAGAATGTACCATCATGTTCGCGTTTCAGAGCAATCTAAAATGATTGGAAATGTGCGACGTGCAGGCGCAGCACGCTCAAGGCAGTCGTTACATGTGGTAGGTCACGCGAAAACAGAATAGAAAAACCAGCGTGGCAGTATCGACCTTTGATATCACACAATAGGAGAAGAATATACAGTGGCCGATGTAAGGATGATTTGGCGTTCTGAGACTATACTGTCATATTTAATGAAGAAATTCACCACTACTTTGATTTTAACAGCGGAGCCATTAAAGGTCAAAGCAGTAGTAAATAAAAATAAAGACGATGGTGTGTACAAAAATAATTACTGTGAATGATTATGCGCTCGGTAAATGGGCTACTGAGTGCCACAACTTGCCGCTGGTCCAATATAAATGATGAAGACAACAAACAAGCGGCTAACACTAATCAACATTTCTAGATAGACGTAACCAGTAAATCAGAAAAGCTTTAATCAACCATAAGGGCTAACCTAGTGATAAACACCGAGAGAGAGAGAGAAAGGGGGGAGGGAGGGAGAGAGGGTTATTTTAATGGGGAGCTGGAGAGGTTTGCCAGGTTCTTCACCTGACCGGCTACTCCAGGTGCCGGGTGATGACAATGATATATACAATGATAAACACACAACACATACAGTTGCATACACACATAGCAGTCACATAACACACACACACACTCACACGCACTGCACTATTTACAACGTTTCGTTCAAGCCTGTGGCCCGTAAGATTGTCGGTAGCGCTTTTGTACAGTTAAACGTATTGGAGCTGTTCTGCCATGGGCCTAGAATATTTTTCAACTGAAAGTTTGTGTCGTGTTGTATTTTTAAGGCCATCTTCAGAGACTGCCTCTCTGGTGCGTATATCGTGCATTCACAGAGGACATGATGGATGTCTTGAACGACGTTAAATTGTGCAGAAAATTCTGAGTCAGACTCAGCACCGAGGCCGCTCGAACCAGCATCACTGAAGCATCTGCACGAAGAGCTTCAGCGATTCGTACAATAGGAAAACACTATAGCGAATGGAAAATACAACGGCGCATGCGAGAAGATGAAGCGGTAGAAGCCCTACGCGAAATACGTTTCCGCACACCCATGAGAGCTTGCAAACGCTCGGTATCGGCGCGACTGTCGGTTTCCGAAGTTTGGACATTCGTGTCGTGTCTGCGACTCCCTGTGGTTTAACTGGAGATTCTCAGCACTCAGAAACAAACTATAATCAACCTATCATCTGCAAGCTAAAGTAAGCTTGCGCTACTTAGTGTAAAAGCTTCGCCATTCGGTTATTCTGTAGAGTGGTCTTCGTCGTCCTCGTGGTGCACCAATTTTCACAAATACCAGGCTTCGCGTTACAAAAAAAAAAAAAGAAAGAAACAGTCTCAAAATGTGGCAAGAGCGATTTTTACAGCCAAGTACAAGCGAATGAGCACGGCATGCGGAGACTGACGGTATGTTATTGGCACTACGGCAGCACCAAAATAAAGACCGGCACCCTCACATACCATAACTAAACCTTTTGGCAGAGTAAGTCTGCTTTTTGTGGAAGAGGAACAGTTGCACAGAAACTCCAGAAATGTAAGCTTCGACAAACCATTTGATGGGACTTCCTCTGAGTCTACCAACTTGGAATCCACGTCGAATATTTTTTCTTCCGCATCCGTTGTTTCTTTTGAAGAGTCTCCCACCCACTTTCCCTGCTGAGAGTCGATCATTTGCTGCAGAAAATCATCTTGCCTCTAAAGAAAAAAAGAGAATCATCGTGTTTTCTGTGTGGATAGAGTTTGCTACAGAGACAGCCAACGGGTGGAGTAATGGAAACAGAATGGTTAAAAGGGATACAGCACGCAATAAAAAAAGGCATACAGACGGAGAGACGAAATAGCAAGTTCACGTGGATAAATTGTAATCAACTCGCACAAAACAGGAGAAATTAGCCATTATTAGTCGAGGCCTCCGTCCTGCAATGGACATTAAATAGGCTAAAATGTTAAAAATATGACGATGATGATTACGACTACGAGAATAATGTATCTATCCAAGTACGACATTTTTCCTAACAGGAAATTTACATGACGGAAGGACACAAATGCTTACATTCATATTACGTTAGTACAACGGTAATTGCTTCAGGGCCCTATGGTTCCCTCATCACTGCCGTTATATTCAAACAATGAGTTGAAATTTTGCGCAGCACCGAATTTCAGGTTCAAGAAGTGTTGTGTTTTGCGTTATAGGACCGTTCTAAACAACTATAAAATTATGTTAAATACAAGTACTTGTGCATAACAGAGCCGGGAAGAGAGGACATTCAAAGTGGCCATGGTATGTGCTGTTCGCCGAAATGACAGCCTCAGGTGTCTTTCTACGCTGTTCTAAACCTCAGTTACTGGTAGCAAACATTTCAGAGGGCTATCTGCCGATTTTCAGTAAGCGAATATCGGGTACTATTCATTCACGATGGAGTTCCATGAGGCGAGTGTGCTAGCATTTCTCTACGCTTGCAAACCAGACGCGAATCTCTTGCAAGACTCAGGAATAAATATAGAAACTTTCAGTGTAACATAGGGATCAGTCAAATTTTGTTAGCATGCTCGAACTGTAGGATTTTATTGCAAAGTAAATAATGATGTCATGACGGTTTGGTGTTGCTGCTTTTGTTTTTATTTGAAGAGGGGAGAGATGAAAGTTGAAACTGCCAACGGTAGCTATGCTTAGGCACATATAGTGATAAAATTAATAAAACTGAAATAATTGTCCTCTGAGACATGGAAATTGCAATCTGCTTCAGGAAGGCGCTTTAACAAAGGATTGAGAAGAAATTTAGATGTTCGAAGAACTATATTAAGAGACCTTTCGTACCACCACTAACGCCGTTTTGTCATTTCTGCTTTCAGATTACCTTAAATAATAAAGTATCCGTGCATAGTTTCATGACATCAAATGAAAACAATTTGTGCCAAAATAAACACTAAGAGGTTTTTACTAAAACACACTGAGCAACGGATTAACTGGAATATCATTCTTTATTAGAGTATTTCGAATACGCAAGGTGGGAACAAAGAGTAACGCGAAAAACCCTAGCAACAAGAGAAATCTACACCATCGCAATTTCAACCACAATCAATCTGCCAAATGTTCGCCGTGCATCTGATACTGTAATGCTGGAGGTACTCACAATTTTTGAATCCAGACGGCCCTTGATCACACGCTGGCATAGACTCCTAAAGTACCCAAGAGTAGCTGGGTTGTACAGCTTCATTCTGAAGAACTTTGCCACTCCTGGTAGCAGAACTGTGGTTCAGAAGACATTAAGCGTGTCATGACAAGCCGTTGTTACCGCAACATAACTGAAGAGGCAGAACCTGAAGTTACCAGATGTTGCCGAAGTTACCGATCACTCCGTGCGCGCACAGCCTGATGTACTAAGCCCGATAAGATATTATAATATGCTACGGGCACGTATGTAAAGAACTATCAGTAAACCATTTTTCACAGATGCAAATTAGTTTCCTTTCCACCTACTGAAGGTGTAGGTGTTTTTCGCATGCATAAGCATAACATTAATCAGAGCTAACAGACAACAAAGCGAAGCAAAGTATAAGTGATGTTATCTGTAGTAAATCTGAAGTAAATACGAAAAAATAAAACTGTACGAAAAGATAACTTGCCACTGTCGGGCACCGAGCTTGCTATCTTCGAATAACGCGTCTGATGCTCCACCAGCTGATCTACGTCGGCGGCCATTCCACCGTCCACTTTTTGGGTTACGAGCATCGGAGGCGTTATTCGAAGACTACATCACTCGTTCACATTACTTTCTTGAAATTTACATCATAGCTATACTACAGAAAACACCCCTATATTTCTCTTGCCTTGCTTTTCTGTTAGCTTTAGGTGTTGTTGTAATTAACTAAGAAAAACAAACCTGAAAATTCCTCTTCTTTCATTCATGTGCACAGCATCAGTTTGTTTGCATTCATAGATGGAAGGATTGACAAGGCTTACGTAGTGAAAGACTCCACCGTCACCAGCTAGCACGCTATCTTCATTTACAACTACTGCCAGAGCCTCCCCCCCCCCCTTTATATGGACAAACATGTGTGGCAAAGTACTTACAATCATATAGAATGCTAAGGAAAAATGCACTTGATAAAAATTGCAAAGCTAATCAGCATCATACAAAAGAAAACGAAAGACAACATACTTATAAAGCAGCCTATCACTTTTTGAGACGAGCGAACAACTACGTACAAGTTGCAGTAGTATGGTAAGACGAAATTACAAAAGCGAAGTACACAAAGGAACGGCGTCGACGAAGATAGCTGACATTCACTGGAAATCTAACGATCAGAGCCGAAACAATGTGTTGGTGATCGGCGTGGCGTATACGAATCAGCATTCAAAGCTTAAGCCACTGGCATACTCACAGTACACGATGAGCGACACCGAGAAGTCCGTGCCGAACACCTTCTTCGCGTAGGTCACGAAATCGTTGGTCTTATCAGAATGGGAATCGAGACAAGTTCCAAAAGCGTACCGGGCAATCAAGTCCAAGGAGAAGTTGCCAAAGAAACTGCAATTTATTTTGGGAATCAAATGGCGCTGGTATCAACAGTGTTATTCCGGGCAAAAAAAGACAGCGTTTCTTCGCACTAAAGTAAAAGCAAAGCACACGACTGAACTTTGTGTATGGTATGTTTTTGAATTGAGAGCCGCATATGGCCAGGTTTTAGCGGAACACATGCGCGGACAAAAAGGAGCCAAGGGAAGGAATTTTCGACTAACCGAATCATTCAATAAATTTCGCATCAAATACATTATACCATGGCGCGAAACTAAAGGTGTGCGATTTCCCCGACGGGGTGAAAATGAGATGAACTCGTAGATAAAACCGTTTCTATCAAGATTGAACAACAAGTGATTTAAGTTCTTTCGAAAGAACCAGGTTTTTTTATGTCCTAAAGGATTTCATTTTGAGAACACCGTGCACTAAATAACGTGCGTCGTGCGCAAGAAAAACACGTGGATGTTTGAGCGTATGTCTCTTTATTCTCTCAATATCGCCATTATTATGTATATTTATTATAGTAATATTAACTATACCACACCCACCACAGTCCCGGCTGTGCAGGCTTCTATATTCAGAAAAGTGAAACGGCTCTGAATATTTTTTTCAAGAGTGGCAGAGAAGCCTAGGAACAATGTCACATGTAGCTTGCACTAAAGGTCAATTATTAGCATTGTTCATAGACTGTCACGCCACCTAGCGGTATCCAGATGCGTCCTCTCGAGGGTGATCTGATAGGCAGACGCTCCGTTGTTCGGCTGGGTTAGCCCCAGTGTGAACGCGTTAGCAAGAAACGAACACAAACCACATTGTATGTTTCCTGCATCAGTGAATATACCGGACCTTCCGTGACACGATAGATTGATACTTGAAGTAAAAACTAACAATAAAATGAGCGTTAAAATTTTTAGTACTAAATCTGTTTTAATAAAAGGAGGAATGACTCATGATTACAATGATAGCAAAATAATTACTGTATCTTTAATAGTTATAGAAAAAGGGCAGATAAACTTTGTCTAAAATACATAGCGGGCACAGGCTTACCCTTTTCCCTAAAGAAGTCTTGAAACACTTATTCAAGTAACCATAGAATGAATTCACTGGAAGAGCTTCTTGCCTTACGAATTCAACGGTGCAAAAACTTTAAGAATCCGTCAAAATATTTGAGAATGTAAGAATCCGTCAGGAGTTGCAAAGATTTGTCGTGAGCTAGAATTGCATCCTCCCTTCGCTCGTTTTGACGAAAGCGCTGGAAGCTGGGCAGAGAGGGGTGGCTGGGGCAAAGAAAATACGTCAACCACGCCTCGTGACCTCCAGCACTTTATTTTTTTCTTCGAATGTGCCGCTTTTCGTTAGAATCGCGCTCGTACGCGTGGACAAGTGACGGCCTCTCGCGGCGACCTCTGTAACAACCGAGCGCACCATGTTCAAATCAGCCAACGGCTGGTAGATGGGCTTTCTACCAGTGATCTTCGAGCGCCTTCTGTCTTATCGTAAAAAAAAAAAAAAAACTTTTGAGCTGACTTTTATAATTTATTGTAAATTCTAGGTCGCGTATAATATTTGGTTCACGTGTTGTCGGGAGCCTCTACTACCGATCAGCAGTGCTTTCTGACCATGCAAGTGTATGTAATCAGACGAAAATTATAGATGATAGCATCGACAATACGCAGTGCAATCTCAAAGACGGTACAAAGAATAGTGACTCTATTTACGTACTGTCCCAGTTCAACATCGCGTTCTTCTTCAGCCGCTTTCTGAAGATGGCTCATCGTAGACTTGGTGCAGGCTTCGATTTGATGCTCCATCTAGAAAATAGAGGCTGCCCTTGAAGGAGCAAACGTACAAACCTTATAGGTCAAGGAAAATGCTCATCAAAAGGTTGTTGGTAGTTTGCCACTAACAAATAGCCCTAACGCAGAGAGTAAAAAAAAATGGCAGCCGATCCACAAAGTGAATGCTGATGATGGAGCAAAGCTGGGTCTGAAGGTCTATAATGTGTATGTTGAAGTCATTGACTAGTGTAAAGGACAGAATGATAGACAGACGAACAGATGAACAGACAGACGGACCGACGGACGGACGGCCACATGCACGGATGATCGTATGGGCAGATGCACGCACAGAGTATAGTCTATTTTAAAACCATTTGTACGCTATGAACACTCTATGTATGGTATATGTGACACCTGCGTTTCGGTCAAGTGGGAAGCTGCAACAGCGACAGCATCAACGCACACCATGCCAACCTAGGGAGCTTCGCTCCGAAATGAATTCATCATCATGGCTGTATCACCATCAAGTTTTTGTAATATATTGTAGCACTAGGTACTAAAAAAATCTTGTGCTGCACAAAATTGTTTTCAAATACGACGTTTAAGTCTATATTTTATGTTATATTAAATTATAGTAAGTTACAGAAAATGATGTCCAAATTCTTATATTCAATTAAAATTACGTGCTATGAAATTATTAAATGAAGAGTAAATCTCAAGGGCTCCTTTTTCTTCGTTAGGAACAATATTGTTGATAACTTACAGAAAATAATGCCAAGGAAAGTATAGGGGATGTTTGAGTAGTAAATGTAATTTAAATGCGAAGTAAATGCGAGTTATCAGTTACATTACATTCACTACTAAAGCATCCCCTATATTTCCTTGACATTATTCTTTGTTGGTTTTCATTATTATTGCTATTCAAATGCACAATTCGTTGTTTTAGACCACAGCTTTAAGGTGGATGTGCAATATCCTTTTTGTTCTATCTGGTATGTAGTTCTCGAAATTCCCGTTATCATTTATCACGTCTGTGCTACTATATTTTTAAGCTTTATTGATTGCTACGGAGGGCACAGTAACTTGATCGCGTCAGAAATAGAGCTCCCGTTCGATCGACCATTTTAGTTAAGATTCTCTATCATATGAGGAGGTCTGGTTTTCATTATTTCTTCATTAACCCTAACGTACGTAGACTGCATCGTAACCACTGGCCATTTAGAAAGATGCCACTTCATGGTGACAATGCAAAACGCACGTACAAAAATATTATCTCAACGATTCGTACGACAGCGGTGAGAGAAACGAGGCAGTGCGGCATACATGAAGTAAAAGAACTTGTGACTAACCTTGCGAATTTCCCAGATGTGAACACTGGCGAATAGTACTTCCGTATTGTTTTCCATCGAGGGTAGGGAATCACACTGAGCATGTAGTCGAACAACGGTTCGAAAAAATTGACGGTCTGGAAAGGAATCCCCAAGAAAACAATGTTAATGTCGGCTGCAGCTGCTCGTCGTCTTTCCGACATAGTGAAGTGATGTCGATGCAGCGAAAAATGAACGCCGCATATTTAAAAAGAAAAAAAAACGCACCACTTAAGATGTGCGACCTTCCATGTTCTATATACCTTTTACGACTTATAATTATTAGTTATCTTATCAAAGCAGTGGTTTTTATTCATTCGCATCACTAATATCAAAGAGAAGCGAATATACATGGTATTATGATTTTCAAATGCTATTGTTAGCCAGTCATTATATGAATACTATGGTAATCATCACCACATTACTGTCTATTGTTCACTTGTGGGCACTACGTTCTATTCTCTTTAAAAATGTGTGCACGGAAGGGAGAGTGGTGTTTAAATATTAACCCTACTGATACGTATACTTATGGAATGCTCACTCAATGATGAGTTTCCCATACAAAAAGGATGTCCCCAAGTAGGCGGCACTAAAGCAATAGTGCATCAATGCAGAAATAAGGACGATCCGGCACTGATCACAGGTTCAACTCTCACGAAGCAAAGAGCTTTCTTCGGTTCTTGAAATAGTTGTTGCGCACACTAATGTCGAAGCCCCTGCAAAGCCACCATTATGATTCAGAAGGCCTGCGGGGTCTCAACAACATATAAGGCTTCATTTTTTGTCATAATATAGTTCTGGAACAGGTAATGAGCATTAACGCAATAACGTTTACACGCTTAACTAAAAAAAGAATGTAGGGTATCCACCGCAAGCCTTTTTCATGTAAGTTTGGACCACAAGCTCATTTTATATATTCTCTAACGCAGTTTCAGGAATGGGTTCATATTTGCACATTTTTTTTTTACAGCGAAATTTGTTGTGAATCACAACATGCGTCACGTGCAGCGCCGCAGTTGTTCACCGCCGCCGGTGTCCATAACCAATATCCGGCAAAATAAGGAAAAATAAAACTCAAAAACACCAATGGCAAAATGGCATTCGAGCCCGGGTCTACTGCATGCCAGCCCAGTATTCTACCGCTTAGCCACGCCAGTGCTTGAGGCTCGGATCACAAATTTGCCTTAGGCAGGCTTGATGTCGGGTACGTAATTGCGTGAATATGAGTAAAAATAAAGTATTTTAGAACAGCAAAGGAACAAGAGGCTTCACACAATGCGAGTTCCGTAATGAGTGAATCGTCCACTGCTCCAACCCATTACAAACGCTTATTTTTCATCACCTATTAACAGTGGCACATACTCACTTCAGGCGTAATTCATCGCCAACAGCCACTGCATGAAAAACGAAATTCGTTGCAAGTATTTAGTGGATACCACGCTTCTCCGAAGAGTGACAAAGGATGGCATAGTGAATGCCTGCCTGTTATACAGTGATTAATGACGTAGTGGGTACCTTACAAGTGTGCTTGCAGCAGCTACCCACAGAGTTAAAAAAAGAAAAGGGGTATTCAAGGCCGCTCTTCCATAGCGTTCGCTGTGACAGTGCTGCGCGTTCAGCGCAGGCCTGGTTTTTTTTTTTTTTTACTTTGGACAAGTCAGAAAAAAAAACGTCCAAAATAGCCCCATGTAGTAATGACCAGCGACAGCATTCCTCACAAAACACCCATCTCTCATTATGCCAGCCACAGACCACACCACCAATGCCTTATCGAAATATATCTCAGTGTCATCGGAATAAAGTGACGAAATAGGCACGAAAATAGTTATTTAAAACAATTATGAATGAATGCAAGATATCGGCCAGCATTGCTTATTTTTCTTTCGAAGATATCTGATGACGACCCTAATACTCGACTGGTAGTAGCGCTCGCACATCGGCGTTACTCTACCCAGGTGTATTCCTTTTATTAAACTTGTAGTTAGTGCACTGCCGGAATAGATCTCGAAGGATACACAGAAAGCAGCCGCGTGATTGAAATCTGCTCCACCAGGTGCCGCTAAGACCATGGCTTCTCACAAAAGTGCCTGCTTTTTCAATGAACTCATTCATTATTTGACTAAATTAACATACTCATTTAATGTACTCGTGTTAATTTTTATCAATTATCCCAATAGTTAGTTGGTCCTTATTTTAAACGAACATATTCTCCGATATTGTATGTATCTAACGTAACCTCGTTTCAACCAGTACCACAGATTTCTAACCAGTTTTATTTTTCGGATACTTGTTTTCCTGCATATTTAAAAAACCGGAAGTAAGTGCTCTACCAGAAGTGCCTGAAAAATGACTCTCATCCAGTGTTCGGGCTGAGCGCTGTTGGCTTACAAAGAACTTAATGAGACCCGTGAGCAATCCACTAAAACAGACTACCCGCACTTACACGTCGGTTGGGAAGGACAAGGAAATCCTTTAGCAGAATTTGCTTGAGAAGCTCGGGCTCTGCCACGAACAGTGACGGCTTTCCACTTTCGAACATGCTGCCAATGCAAGAAAAGAGAGTGAGTGAATTACAACATAGCGCATAACTATAGAGCAACAGTGCCTGGACAATCAATCACGCATCGAAACGACTGCCGTGTGTTCATTACAAAGAGAGACGCATGTATGAAAAGTATGACGTTCGGCGACACTACTTTAACCTAGAGACAAAGCGCAGGCGCGTCGACGTTGGCAACTGACTGAAACAGTAATGTTTTTACATGCACGATGGCGACGTATCGAAATTGAGAGCCCCGAGAATTATTCATAACGTGCTAAATCTTCCGAAATTAATTTGTTTGTGCTATTTAAATGCTCTTTTCTGTGCCCTGTATATATCACTCAAGGTGGCCATATCAGCTGAATGGCTGAGTCTCTCAAGTTTTTTGTGCATGCTTATAATATAACGCACACAATGCGCCCCAGCACCGGCGTATAGGTCACAAGTGCAGGTTACAGAAGCACCGTAACTGATTTCGCTCTTTCGCTACTGCATGTGAGTTTCGTCACAAGGTGAGTCCACTTCATTCTCAAGGACATCGGTGTCACATGCAGTAAGGTTATGTTTTGTTATGATCGGCCTCCTTGACATGGCGCCGCTTGAACTTGAGGCGGTTGCGGGACAGCGCTCACAGAGGTGAACCACAAGCGACTTGAACGACACGCTAGCCGTACTTGGAATTTCGCGGCGCAGCCATCTCTCCTCGTAGAACCCTTTCAGCTGACCTGAACGACTGGCGACCCATGAAAGGCTGTTTAGTTAATAGCTTAAAAAAGGTGGTTATCTCTGTACGTCTCTGTTCGTCGGAGTGCCGCAGACAATAAGCCAAACGACGGAGAACCGTCTGCGGAGGCATTTCCCACGTTCTCCGTGGTGCCCAATACCACTGTTTCCACACGTCGTGGTCTGCCTGGCGCCACACACTCATCACTGCAACGGTCTGCCGAGTTGATTTCCACGTGGGACTCAATGTCTTCGTGCTGTGCTGTGTCTATAGTGCGGTGTGCAGTGTTTTCTGCCTCGCCATGGGCTGAACTGGGCGTGCCTCTTCCCCCTTTTATGGGTTGGGAAGGAGGCGGCGTTTCACCTTCCCCTTTCGGGGGCGGAGGTGAAGATGGCAAAATTTATTGGACTGTCCTGGCCTCCATTGTTTTTTCCTGCAGGGAATCCTGGGAAGACCAGGACACAAAATGCGAGCGTCGAAGCGCTCCCGACAAGCTCTCACAAACTCCCAGAAGCTACCATCATGCTTTCATCGAGAGGTTCCATGATGCTACTCTCATCATGTAATAACAGGCTACCTGTAAATATTGTAATTAAAAGTCACTGTTAACAGCTCCGAGCTCCTCTCCTCGACATCTCCCCGAGACTCTGGCTGGCTCCGGTTCTCTGGGCAGACCCCTGATTACATCAACTTCTTGAGGCTCGATCACGCTCAAGGTAGATCAGAAGAGTTGGGAGCACGAAATGCCGTACAGTTGAAAGATTTTTGTCTGTTACTTTTTGTTCAGCTAGTGCTTTCTGTTCGGATAGGCACACACATACAACTCTCCCCCCAACCTTGTGCACACCTCCTCCGATATGTCAAAATTGCATGTGATCGGTTCTGTTATTTTCAATAGCTGTTTTTTTGGAGACAGGTTGATCTCTATATCATCTCAGCTACTCCATTTCTATAAATTCTGCAGTGCATCAAATCCTTCATCTGCACCCTCCACCCCCCAATTGCACTATATTTAATAGCCCATGCCCACGTGAGGACGACAGGCATCAGCATAAGCTCATTCATAACATATTGCGCGCTAGGCGCCGAAAGATTTCGTCGTACTTTGACTTTATATGAAACGTCAGGGCGACTGCAAGATTTTTTTTTTCTTGCAATGTCGAGCAAATCGCTATTGCAGTCATCCAAGTGCCTCGTCAACATCTGACAACGCCACTGATGAGTTAGGTTTAACATAGCTGGGCCCGAGAAGACCAAGACAACGGCAATGAGGACAAACACCTCGTTTGTGGAACAACCCCACAGCAATACTTCTTCGCCCCTACGAAGCTCTGGCAGTTTGGAGTCATTCCACTGAATAGACTATATTTTTTTACGATTTTTTCGTCAAAGCAAGCAAAAGCCAACATGCACTCAAGTATATCTCGATGTCATTCAGTTTGATAAACATTTATCGATGATTATTTTTATTAACAACATGCCGATTCCACTAAGTATGACAATCGCTTTTTTTTTTCATTCATCGGCTAATAATACAATTTCGCTTCTTCCAACAGCGCTCTTACCGCCATCTTCTCTCAATTCAAAGCTGCCGCTGATTGTACCTATCATGTTACGCCTCTTATTCTTACCCGCCGTTGTAGCGTGTGTCTTTTCCCACGCCAAATGTAGCGTCCTGTTGTAAACCTAAAGGTATTATGAATAAGTGAATCAAAAGTAGGGCGATTTGTCCTTTTTGAAAGACAGATAGACAACTTTGTTGGACGCAGCAATCTGGGGAACAGGTCCCCGCCTATTTCAAGTCACAACAGCTCAATGACAAGAGCACCAGGTAAGTAAGCGACCACTGCCGGTGTGGAGGGCCCACACATAGTGCGCGCAAGTAAGTACGAGTGCGTCTCATCTGCCCTCTAGATAGGCAATGTTCCAATAATAGAGGTGGCTACGTCCTTGAGGCAATGATATAAAATCTCACTTTATTAAGTGGAACACGCAAACACAAAAAAAGCAATCGGGCAGATATTTCCACTTTTTTTCACATTATAAAATATTCTATGACATGCCTTTTTAGGTCAACTCACCCATAAACTCTTCCGTACTTCTTGTATCGCTCTAGGTCCAGTTCATGAAAGGGCTGCGAGAAAAAAAAAAAGCCTATAGTCAATATTGTCGGCATAACCTTTTCTATTCCACTTCCATAAACTACGTTACGTGAGGTTTACACGCTATTTACGTACAGCACACACGAGAAACGTAAAAAGTAATTTCGTTCACTGGCCGACATCTGTGACATTTTTCTTTTTCTCCGTGTTCGGCTTGACGCCTTCCTGAACAAGGCAGGAGAGACGGACAAAGCAAAATTTGTGCACAATGGCCTTTATTTGTTCCGTGAACAGTACTATGGGGCCGGCCTATGCTTTGCCACTTAACATGAGCTAAGATACTGAGCGATGAAAACTTTAGTACGCTTTTCTAGAACAATGTGGCCTGGAACGCTATACATAATAGTTACGTAAAATGAGATAGACGTGACTCTTTGCGAGGGTATTTCGAGTGATAAAAATGTAGCACAGTAAAGGACGAAATATATAGCAAGCCTTACTGCATTCAAGTTATAACGGGATGAAAGTTTAATAATCAGAGTAAGGGTGTCATCGTCCAGCTGCGAAAATAATTACATGATTACGCGGCGTGCTTAACAAGAACTGCAATCATTTTCGCTACATGTGGTTCCTTAACGCGCATCTAAATAGAGGTACGGAGTGTTTTTTATGCTTTGATTTCACCCTCACTGAAATGTGGCCCCTGTGTTTAGCAAACACGCGCACCCGTGATTGGCAGCTAGAACAACGAGGCAGCCATGACGTCGCCACAGCCGACCTTTAGCAGTATCAGTAGAAGGCTGCATAACAAGTTTATGCTTTGTAATAGTGAAATTAACCTAACGCGGAATAAATCTATTCTGGTTCCCCAGTAACCCTATACGGCCCTAGCTAATGAGCAATACAGTGAAGAGAGAGAGAGAAAGGAAAGGCCGGGAGGTTAACCAGGTATTGGCATCTGGTTTGCTACCCAGCGCTGGGGGTGGGGAAGTAGGGGCAAAAAAGAGGGGGTATATAGAGAAAAAAAAAAACGCACGCGCACTCATACGAAAACGAAAACACACACAGGAAGGGTGTCCTAGCTACAACCGTTCAGTAAGGCTGGTCAATCGCAAAAAGTGTAGTAGCGCTTTCAGGGCCCTCTTTTGTGAAGTCGCATCCTGTCGATACTGCAGAATTTCCTGCTCCGACAGAGGTTGATCATCTAATTTGTTGAGTTCCTTGCGAAGGCATAGTCGTTGTTTACTATACGCTAGGCAGTCACAAAGAATATGATGGATTGTTTCCTCTTTGCCACAGTGGCCACAGGCTGCGGTGTCAGCCATCCCAATGCGGAAAGCGTAGGCGTTGGTAAACGCAACGCCCAACCACAGCCTACATAACAGCAATACAGCGAAAATCTTTTCGATACCTTCTGCATGATCCTGAGCATTGGACCAAAGAGTAGGGCGTAGCTTTCGTGGGGAACATTTTGCTTCTTCCAGTGGTTTCTGTAGCGGGATACCCGACTGCAAGAAATTGAAATATTTGCTGCAAGGCATTATGCAAAACGTGGTATCATACGAAGGTGGCACCCCTACCATTGCAAGTCCAAGTTGTCGGTGTTCCGGCATGACTATGACTATAATGCATATGCAGAGAAATCGAAGTATAGTGCTGGGTTCCACTCACCGAAATTTATTCTCAAGAGCCACAACAAAAAGGTCACCATTATGAAAATTCACTGATATTTTTGGAGTTCTCGAATATCTGAAACACCTGCGAAACGGAATGTTTGCCATTCATTCATTCATTCATTCATTCATTCATTCATTCATTAAGCAAGTGATTTGTTCGTTCATTTGAGTTTCACGAACGAAGTAACATTGGCGTGATGATTAACGCATCAAATTACGATGTGATGATGTAATCACAGTACTTACATACATTCGCGGTTGTGTAAACTAATGTTTCAAAGGAATATTTTAAAAACAATAACATGAAGGGTCCAAATAGCTGGCACACTACCGAAAATGAAATAACGCCCAAAGCGGAAGACAAAAAAGAGACATCATTTCATCCAGTGTTTATTTCTTAATTATAGATGGCTGCACCATCGTCCAGGAAGCCTCCATGTTGCAGTAGCAGAGCGGCGGGATAAACGAGTTCATAACATCATGTGTGAATGTTACCTGCATACCACACGCGTTTTCGGTCATTATTCTGGCACTGAGGCGAACAATATTGTGGCCGCGTCTACATCACATTGATTTAGGTTAAATGCAGCTGCGAATGTGCTGAACTGACTTCATCGTAGTCGCCATGGTATAGCACTGGCACGTTAAGAAGTTGCGTCCACGAATTCCCGTGAAACCTTTTATTTTGTATCACGCTGGTTTAGTAAACTGTAAACTAATAGCACGTGACCGCACGCACCCAAGTAAATCATAACAGACTAGCTTTACCCTTTCTTAAACACGGGCAAATCCCAAATAACGCCCCCAATTTCGTTGCACAAACTGAAATGACCCTTTGAATATTTGTACCAGCACTTCGATCTCACGATAGCAGAACGCGAATGTACGGACACTCTCGCGTCCGCTAGCAGCACCGTATGCCTCGCTGTGCGAATAAAAATACTTAGTAGTAACAGTTTTTAAGAAACGCAATGCAGACTCATAGCATTCATGATCTGTTTCAACCAATGAAAACGAATCTCTCTTGGTAACTGTTTAAGGATTCACCAATCACAATACAGTCTGAAACCGTTTTTGCAATAATAATTTCATTATCTCCATAGTTTGCCACTAGCAGGCCTAAAGCCACGGCGTCGCTGTCTCCTAAGAGCGGCCTTTTTTACTAAAAAGGAATCCGTAAGGCCCCACGAATCAGACGAGTCAAGTGTCCTGACAAAAAGCTGCACAGTGCTGCCGGCCTGAAAGCGGCGATCTTTTTTCGCCATCGTCGGTTTTGGCAAGGCACGAAGCGATACGTATGAAGTGGATGAGGACGCTTCTGTAGTGGCGAGAATCCCGCTTCCATCGATTGCGCGCCACGGCCAAACTAAAACGTACAGGCAGCGCCATAAGTGGCCCCAAGGTCACGAGGCGGGCGCGATATCACGTGTGTGCAGCGACCACGCTGTAGAGTGACGAAACTACCGTAATGTCACTCGTTTTAGTCTCCGTTATTTCCAACCTCGTACGCTCGAACGAAAGAAGGTGGAAATCTGCCATGCATCAGCGTGTGCACTGTAAAACCACGTGGTGCGATCGCCGGCTTCGTGACGTCAGGGGCAGGATTCAAAATGGAAGACGACTGCACTGTTGCAGCCGTGCACTTCATCGTCACTGGCTTTCAGGGTGTGGAATGCACCTCCGCCATATTGGCTCTTTTGTTAGCGTGTGCCACAGTGATGTCAGTGTTCAGCAGCTCGAAACAGGCCGCGCATTACATCGCATTGTAGCGTTAAACATTGCAAAAAGTACTGCTGTGACATTATATCAATGTTCACACAAAATTAATGTGCTACTCTGTCATGTCCAGTGCGTTGTTGCATTGAAGGCATTCATTTCATTCCGTTGAGCGCAGACTCGCCGGTACGAGCAGCAAGATTTAAAGAAAACACCCGACACACGATTCACCTTATTTTACCTCGTAGGTCGGCAAAAGCCGCACCACCCCAAATATTCAAGCGTTTCTTTCAAAAATGCGTAGCGAGGACTGGTATGTACTCACAAGTAGAAAAGCACTGCCAGCGTACATAACAAGACGACCCAGTCCGGTATACCGAAAAGCGCAGCCATTTCAGTTCAGGGCCGCGACGAGTCTAGTTTCCTCTGAAGAAAATCCGGCTCTCTTCGCCGTGTAAACCAAAGGGCAACTGAAAAATATTCGTGCGCGAATGCGACATTCGCAGCGTCCCGCCCAGATGTAAACAACATGCGCACTGGCGGATGCGCCGTTGCTATGTCCCTCGGTTCTCTCTTTGGTTTTTCTGTTTTCATGCGGGCCTCTTTTATTATCATCACAATGACGACAGCACAATACGAAAAGACGTTGCCTTGAAGTGCTGCCATCTGTTATCAGCGAAACGTTCCAAGCAGCCGCTGCCGTTCTTGTCGTTTCGCGCGCGTGTAGAGAGTGGCGCCGTCTGCAGCAGGCATCAAAAAGCAGGCACCGGCGCGGCAGTTCCAAAACAGCATAATTAGGGCTAAACCCCTATACCCTGCGTCACTAAAACCAAAAAATGACCGCAGGCAACAGACAACGCGAGGGACGCAAAAAATCATCACTGCACGTCATGGTGACGGCACAAGTTGCCAAAATTTGTGACGTCGTCTTGACGTCACTAGGACCTCATCACACGACAACGTCGCTTTGCAAAAAGCACGAGGGCTGCAGGAAACCTCCTCCACCGGAAGCAGTGCACAACCACGTTCAGGGCACTCTTTCTTTATTTTTACCTTCTTCCGTTTTTTTTTCTGCCTTTCTTCCCTCTCTTCAGTTCAATTTATTTATTCCTGTTTACTTATTCATTCCGTTTTCTTTCTTGCTCTTTCTGGTTCTCTTCCTTCTTTTATCCCTTTCTCTCTCTCTTTCTTTCTATTCCTCGCTCACTTCTTTTTTTTTCTATTTTTATGCGTGGCTTCGCCTGGGCTACGCCAATCCGGGCCCTTGAAGTGCTCTGCCTTTATCGTCGTCGTTAAGCGCTCGAAAAACAAGAGGAGGAAGACTTCTCTTGGGCGTTAGTGGCCATTCAATGTGCTACAGATGGTTACGCTATGTGTGGGTTCGCCTGCGTTACGCCGAGCTAAGGCAGCATATGACAGCCCGGTCCCTTAAATGCTTCGCATTCAAAAATTGCATTTATAAAAGAGATTTCCTCCTATGAAAAAAAGTCTCAATGTTATCTAGAAATCGTTTCACGTTTGCTGTTCTTAGGAATGTTCAATGAGAGAGTAGATGAGAAAAAACGCTAGAAAATACAAGAGCACGCAGACACGAATGTAACAGATATCTTTCATTATTACTGTGACCTTCAGCATC